TTCTAACTTTTACAAATGCCACATTTAAAACACAAATCACTAATCACAAGCCCCTTTTCTCTAGCTTTTTTCTACTTACACTCACCAATACTTTCAGTGTTCCCTAAACATGTATAAACTCTTGTTCCTAAATATTTATGCCATATGATTCAATTTTACCTTTTTAAATTTGTTTCACATGTGTTCAAACTGTACACCTCTTATACTGTAAAGTACTTAGTAACTGAATTCAAGTCTTCAAATTTCTTATATACAGTTTTGGGTATATTTTATCTTCACTCTAAGTAACTGAATTCAAGTCTTCAAATTTCTTATATACAGTTTTGGGTATATTTTATCTTCACTTAGAGTTGAATATTTGTTGTGATGGCTTTTCATTTAAACTGTTTTATTTATTTACTTATCTATAAAGTGGTACAGTATGTAGTGGAAAAACATACTGTGAAGGGAATTGATAACAGGCTGAGTAACTACCAGAATTAGCAGGGAAGCAGTTTGCTGGTGATGGGTTGTAGGACTTTTTACCAAACCCTCTCTTACTCAGTTTTAATGTGTATAATTAAATCCTGAGGACATAGAGCTGGTTCTAAGATGATGTTAAGGTGAATCAAATAATCAAAATCTCAGAACTTACTGATAAGGCAGATTTAAGCTAAGGAGCTCACATTTAAAAGGAAACAAAAACAAAGCCTCTTCTTAGATATAAAACAATAATAGTAATAATAATAACAACAATAATATTATTTTATATTCTAGCATTAAGGGAAGGAGATATGGCCTAGTAGCATAAAAAGAAAGTTTTTAAATAGACTTTTGGATTCTAATTTACCTAATATCTATGATGATGAGAGAAGTAAAAACTAGAACATATGGATGGAGGAACAGGTAATGCATGGCATAAAAGAGACAGGATTCACTGATGACAAATATCACATGGAAAAGGAATTTAAATTATTTTGGATGATTCCCAGTAATTGGTAGAGAATTGGAAATTTCTAGGAGGGGGTCATTATACAGAAAAACTGACCAATAGATTAAATTTGGATTCTGAATTTAAGTCCTATGTTCTCCCACTCTCACCAGAAACCCAAGTCACAATTAGGAAATTTAGAACATGTGGAAGCTATTTCTGCAAAGATGGTACAGTGGTGTTTTAAGCATCTTTAATTGGCTGGCTTTAATAAACTTTTGAGACATTCCCATTCCTTATATTGTGATAAAATAGAGCAAGTTATTAAGGTAACTTATTGTGAAGTAATTTGGAATCAAGATAAGACAGACATAGAGAAAGTGCTGATACAAAGATAGAAAATATGATATATAGTAGAAATAAAATTCTTATATGTAATTTCATTAGTTAAAGTAATGGCTAACTGATCTGTTGATGACTTAAGAGGATTTTTCCTCTAATATCATTAGACTTTTTAAAGTAAGTTTTATATAAAATGGAAAAAAATCTTCTAAAAAAAGATAATATTTGGAAAAAAAGCCCAAATAGGCCAATTTCATATAAAATATAATTGTCAAAAAGAAATACCACAGTGCAAACATAATTGTAACAAAGGGGTACCTTATAGCAGTATCACCCATAATTATATCAGTATTCATGTGACAGTATGATACAAAATACTAAGAGAGAAAGACTCATATGAAAATGTATCCAATCAAAAAAACAAGTTGAAATTACAAAAGCAAAGAATATTCTTTATTGGATTTGTCTGATGCTTTGAATTTGATCAACTAGGATTATTTTTAAGTATTGTTTTATACAACCTTTTGAAATGATAGATTTCATTTTTTTATGTGGAATCTGCATTTTATCAGAAGGTTGGAATATGGTGTCCTTGGCCGAGATAGTCTTCTCAGAGGTAGGCTATTTTTGTATTCCATGCTTAGCATATTTAAAGACACACATTCCAGGTGAGCAGCTTGCTCCAATGTGCACTCAATTCTTATTTGTGGATAAGGCTCTATTGATTTAGCACCCACCTTTTGACAAATCCTATTTCAATATTCCCCTAAGGAACCAGTCCTGAAAATTTTCTGGAGAGCCTATGCAGGCAACCTCATGTGCACTGATTCTCTTTTGTCAGGTAAACTGACAGTTGTCATGGCCAGAGGATGAGTGTGGCAGAAATAAGGTGGCAGAAGATTGAAAAGTATGTAAAACAATATGACAAGTGAGTTCTAGCTGGTGAAAACAACAAAAATAGAAAACAGAAAATACATCCAAGCTTAACTTCAATATAAAATGAAATAATGAAGGGATATAAAAAACAACTGAGACATTCAAAGAATAGAATGCTCCATCTATGATTTTTAAATTCATCAAAATTAACCATAGACAGGAAGGTATACTAGTCTAGTAACTTAGTACTTTTGATGTTAAATATTTTAGGCTAACTTCTAATATAAGAAATTGTGTTGAAAATTGACTAGAGAATGGCCAATTTGAAAAGGAGAGGTGAAGGTCAATGGAGGTCCCAGAATTTCTAAGGTCCATATTGTTAAGATCCAGACAAACCGGGCTTCCTTCCTGAAGAGTGCCCAGATGGCAGAGACACTGATATGTGGTCTTAGCTGCTTTTTGACAGGGAACTGTCACCAGTATGTGACCCTATCATCTGAAGGCAGGAAAATTACTAAATGATGCAAGAAAGTGCCTGCAGGCCAGTACACCATGGGTTCTTGAGAAACAGGAGGGCAGAGTCTCAGGAAAATGAATTTTCAGTTGGAGCTCATACCAAGGAGGCTGTCATATATCTTTGCAGAGAAAAGAAAATAAAAGCAATTTAGCTTCCACAAATACTATGTCCAATAGGACAAGAGACAAATTCTCTCTAAGAAGATATGAGGTCATATATAAAAGGCAAGGTGAATGGCATAATTTCTTGGTAATAAAATATACACAAAGTTAGCTCTGAGTCTCTTCTATGAATGCAGTGTAGTCTGGAATCCCCTACTGTAACAGCATGGAGACATCTTTGCCACCAGTCAGAAGGCAGAAAAGAAACAAAGCAATCCAAACTAATACAAGGGTTAAATTTTAATATGACCCCCTTCTTCAACAAAACTGGCAAACACAAGTCTAATTAATTTTCCAAAAGCATGATTCTAGTTGTCAGAAAGCAACCCACTATTAGCAATTATTTTTAGCAAAATGATGCAAATGGAAAACAGATTGAAGAGGGGAGTGGGATCTTTAGTCCTCTCCACCCCAAAAATTAAATGATGTTATAATAAAATATGGAAAATAAAACTACTCTAAAAATGATGTACTAATACTTCTTCTTGAAGGAAGAATTTATACTTCTAATATCTATAATCAATTACCTAGCTCAATGGAGGGAAAATTATTAAATATTTAAGTAAGTCACTCTAGATTTTGCCATTCCTTTTTAGAAAGATCTCTCTAATGCTGATAATTAACACATTTTTAACTTGTGCTTTCAAGATGTTCCATCTAAGCACCAGAGGAAACTGTATTAAACATTAAAATGTAAGAAATCAACATTAAACATTAAAATGTAAAGGATTAACTTCTGAACTTAAATTTGTGTCTTAAAAATTTATACAAGAGGTGTGCTGTTCGCTGTTAAAAATCAAGATGCAGAAACATGAGTCAGCTATTAAAGTCACAATATTGCAGCAAAAAGTTTTTTTTCCAAAAGCAAACTCTGAAATTCTAATGTATAATTCTACATTATTTTTGTTTGTCCTGGAAACTCTGCTCCCTTTATAAGTCAAAGTAACAGTTTTCATTAATAATAATCATATGACCACTTCAGTAAAAATGCTTCTTAATTTCTATAATCAGACTTCACACCAGTAACTGAATATTGTGTGACTGTTAAAAGAACATGAAGTCATTCCTATGGCCTTTCTTTTAATAATTTGATATTAAAATATGTGAATGCACTAATACCCTCAAGATCTCTTCCATATGCCAGCATATACATGTGAATTGTCCTAGACATTAATTTATAACCAGGGTCTCAATTTCTTCATAAATCTAATGAAAGAGTTAAGAACAGATGACTCAAAAGTCTCATTTTATCCAAAAATCTATATAGGCTAAGATGAGGAGAGCAAAGAAAATCTTTATATAAAAAATTATTTGAAAGTTCATTTAAGACTCTCTAAAAATCTAAGTTTTTAACCTTGGATAACTCTATTTCATTTTTAAACCTGATGTCTACTATCCTTTTCTTACCAATTTATAATTGCCTAACTTAAAACTCTAATGAGAGAAGTTATTTGTCTTTGTGTCTGGTCTTTTTTACCAGAAACCAAGTCTCAGATCCAAGAGGGCATCAGTTACTTCTCATAAAACAATATAATTCTTGGCAAGGAGTGAGGGTATCTGGACAATTTTAGCATATGTTGTGGTAAGAAAGTACATAAATGACCTGAATGTTTTACTTTTTCTCTGTATCTGAGGGGCAACGGAATTTAAAATAAGTTTCTCATATCCTGAGGGAGATGACTGCATTAATCCAATATTCCCAGGTTAGTTTTAGATGTGTGAGGAGGGGCACAGTAGGACAAAGACAAGATAAAGCTTTCAAGTTCAATTTAGGGGACAGATTAATTTTTCTAACTATTCATATTGGATCGGTCTATTAACCTTGGGAAATCATAGCAGGTTACTTAAGGATAGTATAACACTTTGGGCAAATAAGCCTTCCAAACACAAACTCAGAATATGAGGGCAGACATCTAAGTCCAAAACTGCAGTTGGATACGTACATGGGGAGTTTGTGTCTATTCCACTTCTACTATCCTCAGAAAGATCAGAAAGACCATGGGACAGTTTTCTTACACTATGATTATGGAAGAATGAGAATAAAAGGCAATGCCTGGGTAGGTGTGTGCTACAAAAGGTAAAGTCTGCTCCCCACGGTGCTAGAAATAAACAAGGAGGATGCTATGATCCCAAGTGCACATCATGCAATGCCCTGGCTTTCTGGATAACTTTCTATTCCAAATGCAATGCCTACCTTCCGTGTGGACTGCAGAGACATAGGTCCAGTTGTAACGTTTGACTATGTCAAGCATCGCCCTCGCTTGCAAAGTGTCGGAAGGGACAACTCTGAGGAAGTATTTGTACAAAGTTTTGTCACTCAGGTCGATGCTTGTGGCGGAATATGCGATCTGGGGGATGTCGAAGAGCTGAAGCAAGTTCTGCACTTGGATGGCTACGGAGCTGGAGCCCGGGCCGATCACGCCCGCAATGGGCTTCTTAGTCCTGCCTAGGGGGAGGGACTGGCCATCAGGCAGGCACCGGTTGAGCCCATCCTTGTCATCTCGAATGGAAATCAGGGAGTCCCTGATGAACTCAATGCTCTGCTCCAGAGCCACGGAGGAGTGCCAGCAGGAGTCCCGGATCTCACTGCCCAGGGTAATGTTGGGCAAGAGGACTGGGTCCGCGTTGATCTTATCCAATGTGTGGAACATGGCCTCCACCCTCTGGATACCATACTGCTCCCTGATCTCCCCACACTTCCTCTCGGGCACCTTCTCGGCTGGAGGCTGGTGATGGACTGAGAAGAGGGCCCCAATGATGACATCTCCGTCCATTCTGGCCACTGAGCGCTGAGAAGAGGCTCCCGCCAGCAACACTTTCCTGTCGGGGCCTCTGGAGAGAAGGGACATCTCTAAAAAGATCGCTGGGAAGAAAACCAAGAGGAGCCGGACCATCGTGCTGAGGACGCGGTGCACAGCCTGCCAGCCGCGTTCGCACGCCGGTCCTGCAGCCGGCTCTGCAGCTCACCGCGTACGCGCCCGACGCCTGCCCCTCGCGGCTGGGTCCGCTCGCCGACACCGCCGGTCCAACACCTTCGCCGCCTGCACTCCCGCCTCCTTCCCCTCCGCCGCCTCCTCCTGGTCCTCCACGACCACCTCCACGCCCTGGAGGCGTTTCTAGGATAATTCGAGCCCCCCTTCTTCACCAGCGCATCAAGGTAAACTGATGAAGAGCACAGTGGGTGTCTTGGTGGCAGCAGTGAATTGGACGCTGCTGACAAAAGAGGAAGAAAATCAAAACTGCGTTACCATAGACTCGTGTCAAAACTTGGGGGGCAGCGATGTTAATAGTTGCCGGGTCCGTTTGATTTCTGCCTCATGATTACCTGCTGGAGGAACAATTGGGAGGCAGCTCTGGTCACGATGGTCACGACGGAAGGTGGTGTACTTTGCCCCCAGTGTCCTTAACCGTCCGGGAGGGGTACAGCTCCGCCGACCTGCCCCCTCCTCCAGCTTGGTCTCCCCAGTCCCCAAATACCCCTTACGCTCACTGACTTGAGGGGGATGAAGGGGTAAAAAGGAGAGGAGGCACTAAGTCTTCCAACCTAAGAGAACTTTCCGGATTTGAAAACATCAACTTTTCCCAGAAGAAATTTGGAAACTCATTATGAAGGTGGAAGCAGTACTTCAAAGTGAACGGGAAGGAGTGTACCTTTTACTATAGCTTTGAGAGGTTTAAGAGACCCTAACATACAACCCAAGTAGTAAATACAAATTTGCCAGCTTGAGGAAATCCACACTAGTTACTAAGGCAACGCCTGGTAAAGCCTCCGCCTGTCGGAGTTAGTATGTCTACCCCTCCAAGTCCCCCAACCCCCCAAGTCAGGTTTACAGTAGATGTTCAGGGAGAAAGGGTGCAGATAAGGTAAACTGTTTCCCGCAATGGAGGATGGAGGGAAGTGGTGGGAGGGTCCCGGGAGGGTCCCCTACACTCGCCTAAATCAGGTTCTTTGGCTGCTGAGCATAGTTGCTGGAAAGGGAATCGAGGTGAGCTTCCCGACTGCTCCCGCGGCGGCAGCTCAGCCCCGCCGTCTTCAGAACCCTGGACAGTGCCCCAGTCCAGCGGCGGGGACATTCCCCGTAGGACCTGGAGGGGACGCTTTGACCAGCGAGTTGAAATTCTTTGGCAACCCTCCACCCCCAGCCCCCACCACCGACTTCTCTTTCAACCCCCTCCCTGCATTCTTTACCCAGATATACACGCGCGCACGCACACACACACACACACACGCACACACACACCCCTCGCCTCCCCACCACCCCTCCACCCTTTCTCTTCGCCTTGCAGCCAGTGCTCCTGCAGGTATATTCAAACCCGACCGCGTCGGGGGCAGAGGCGCCAAATCTCAGCCGCCTGCGGGGCTGAAGTTGGCTCCCTCTCTTTCCTCCCGGCTCCCTTTCTCAAGGTGAGAGTCTGACGAGAAAGGAGCTGAGGGAGCAGGCGGGGATCAAGAGCACAGGAGGTGAAGCAGGCAGTAGGAGGAAGGTAACCCAGGCATCCATGGGTCCCAACGCTTCCCGGGGATGCTGGACTGAAATAAACAGGCGAGGATGCCCCCAGGACCAGGAGGAAAATCCCAGAGATGGGGACTGTGTCTGGCACTGTGGGTGGGTTTTACCGCTGGAAGGTGTCTGCTCACCTGGGTCTTGAAGAATTTGGACTTGAGACGTACCTGAGTCTGGGTAGACAGCGCTATGGTCCCCGGGCCAGAGCGCCGCGGCCACGCTCGGTTCGCAGATGCCTCAGCTCTAATCCAGACGGTGCAAGGATGTGATCTGGGCTGTACACTAGTGCCCTCTTTCTTCAGCACTATTTCACCGCAAGGAAAAAAGAGGGAGGGGGGAGGGAAAACATTAAAAAAAAAAAACAGGTCATCCAAGGCTCTTCTATTATCTCATGCATAAAAATCAGTCGCTTCATGGAGGGGGTGGGGGAAGAAAAACTAGGAAGAAGTGAGGAATATTAATTCCTTTACTACCTGAGTGTTCTGAAAGATACTGCCACACAAATAAATATCTGGTGGAAGGAGTGGGGAACCACTCAGGCTGCTTTAGATAGTTATTCCTTATATATATTTCAAGGACCCAAATACATTTTCTGTCCCTGTAAGTCAAGCCCCTACTGAGGGAAACAGAGAACATATGCAAGTGTAGACATTTAGAGAAGTCTCTATTAGTATTTTGCTAGGGAGAGAGGCAAGCAGCTGCATGGGGTGGCAGCAGGGAAAAGGGGCATGCACACCATGAATCAAGGTAAGCCAAAAGAAGAAAGGCAAACCTTGGCTGCATTTTCCAGGTCAAGATGTAACTAAATTGAGATGAGAGTCAGGTCACATGAAAACACTGAAGTGAAAAACACTTACTCAAATTCCTCCCAGGCTGCCATCACTCTCCCCACAGGTCTACAGTGTTGCTTCTTTCTGTGTGAAAAGTGGAAGTTAAATCACATTCCTCTGGGAACATGTTGGCTGAGCAGAATGTGTCCCAGCTCTTCAGAGGGGAAAGACAAGTGTCAGTGTGCCTTTCCACTCTGGTTCAAAGCTTTCTAAATTGTGTCATCTGCAAAAAAAAAAAAAGAGAGATCAGCTTATGTGGGTCCTTTTACAATCCACTTGCTCATGTCACCATTATTCTGTGGATTGGTGCCATGTCAGGCTAGCAGGCACAAACCACATAAGGCAGCTTTAAATACTCTTTAATGTGTTCCATGAAACTTAGAAAAAGAATGTTTCTAGTCAAGAACTGAAGCTCCTTGCCATTCTGGTTCTGCTATTTCTTCCCCAAGTGTCAAATTGTTCTGGATTTTTCTTAAACAACGTAAAGAAGATACGATTTTTTTCCCACAAACAATGCATTGAACAGGTATACATCCTTTAGACCTAAAATATCTTACTTCTAGAAGTACTCATATGTTCACTCAAGGAAAATAGAAAGGGATATGTTTCTGTCTTCACACAGAAGATAAATTATTCTCTGCCTGTACTCTGAGAAAGATGTCTGCTCAAGAAGGGCAAGCCAAAGGTATTCACAGCATCCCATAGTATCTCACTTCCTCTAATAGACATTTAAGTTCCATTTTAGATAATGCAATTCTAGTAAGATAAACCATAAACATGATTTTCATGTAATATTTCATAATGCAGTGTATGTACACAGATTTCTGTGCATATAAAAACCATTAAAAATATGACTTGGCAGGATTAGAGAAAGTAATGTCTCTGAAGTCCACATTTAACTACAGTGGGTTTTCCTCAAAGCTGTATATTTTTAATATATTGTCTTGATGCCATTTAGAAAAGATTCTTCTAATGAAGGAATAATAAAATGTTCAGATTTATTTGTTCTCAATACAATCCAAGCAAAAACATTCAGGCTGGCTGGAACAAGTTATTTTAAAGAGAAAGAACTTAGGTAATCAGAACATAGATTTATATATATGCATAAATTATATATTAGAGGTGTTAAGGAAAAAATTAATTTCAAATGCATTGATTTGAAATTATCAATTAAGTTTCTTGGTAATTATTTAAGACTGAACTTTAGAAGTTGCCTTTAGGAAATAAGGCAAGAAGAAGACCTTGAGAAAGAAGACAAGATCATCCAAATATGCTTCCAAATATGATTTCTCTTCCTGGAAGTTAAGACTTTACCAAGTCAGGCAGGATGTAATACACATGCAGACATTTAATGGAATGTTCTATTAGTACGATTGAAGAAAATTACTGAAAGAATGACTAATATACAAATTCATGAGTATACTAATCTACAAGAGTTCAAACGAAGTTAAAGGTACATGAACCCAGAAGTGCTGTCAGTATGAATAATTATTCATTGCTGGTAGGATGGGATATTACATTCAGCATGTGATTTGTAGCTGGGTAGAAAGTGTTATGAATATTTCAGTTTGGGAAATCTATTTAAAATAAAATACAGTGAAGAATACCCAACATATTATCTCAAGATGATGATTTAATGTGCTCATTATCCTTATATGGAAATATAACAAATTTGTGATCCACTCTCCTTAGAAATGTGTGAACAATTTTTCAATGTTGTTCAATCATAAAAGACACCATACAGGAACTGGCCTATATTATAAATGAGCAAAAGGATGTAAAATTTTCCATGTAAAATCAGTGTGAAAATTCATACTCTTCTTACCAAGAGAAAGGTAAGAAGTGAAAGAGAATAAGATTTTTTTTAAAAATAAAGAAATGGTAATTTAAGCACATATTCAGTATTATAGGGTACTCTAGTAGGTGATTTAAAACATAAAGATTGCACAGTTGTCAGAATATGGAAGTGAAGTATACACAAGAGGTAATAAAATCATAACTGAAGAGGTAGTACTGACTGAAAATAGAAATTAGATCAAAAAAGGTCTTTGTAGAAAACGGATTTGTGGAAAATTGACATGTAATGTATTATTAAGGGAATATAATTATGTTCAAGTAAATCAATGTGGAGGGCAAATATCATGCTTTTCCATAAAATACCATGCTCCATGGACAATTGATTTAATCTAGTGTCACATTTCTTACATTCTTGTATTTAATTTATAGGTTCAGCAAGATAATTCAAGCCCCAGTGGGAATTTCCAGATTATGTATCCAATTTGGCTGTGTACATTGCCAAAATCAAGAAGGAAATTGCTGTATGTTCATTGACTTTATGTGCAGAAGCAAAGGCAATAAAAATAGTAAAATAAAACCTTTTTTTCAGACACTCAAAACATTTTTATAAAACATGGTTGATTAACAAAGTAAAAAATTTTTTAAACTGAAATAAGACAAATTTAATACATATTCAATTGCTTTATTGGTCTGATTAATTAGGCTTTAACTATTATGCAGAAATAGGACTAAAAGCATCAGCTTCCATGAACAATTAGAAATCATCAGTGGCTCTGTGAAGTCATGCAGATGGACTGGGAAACATAAATTTGGCCACATACTTTTTTGCCACAACTGTCCAAATATTTATTTTTAAAGTACTAAAATACAATTGAGATAAGGCAAACACAGTTTTCTGGAAGCACAATGAGGACCACAGTTATTGTCTGCTTTATTCCCTGCTGTATCTTCAGTGTCTGAAACACTGTCTGGTTCAAAATAGGTACTAAAACAATTGTTGAATAAATGAATGGATACATTTCCCCCAAATACTAAAAATGTCATCTTGTTTTAATGCCTTTCTTTAAGAAGATCAAAGCCATGTAGTTCGCAGATGTTTCTAATTTACTCTTCAAATAATGAAGGACAGCAATTATTTTGCAACTATTTCTCAAGTGCGAGTAACTAGCTTAATTAGTATTAAATTATTTAGAATCATATTTACACAACAAACTTTATTTCACTTTCACTTGAGGTACTGAAAATTGTTCCAAATGTGAAGAAACCATTTTTATTACTATACTGCATGTGTTAGCCAATAGCAAATGAAATTTAGAAATTTTGTAAAGGTAAAAAGAAAATAATACATAAGAGAAAGTTAATCTTTATTCAATGTTGTGACTATATGATTTGAAAATAACCATTTGAAAAGATCCTCAGAACTATCATATGAGATGTGCAAAATAGGCATATTGTCCAAGTCCTATAGATGGGAAAAATTGAGGCACTAAGAATCTGTTCCTTGCTTGAACTTAAGTGAACAAATTAGAGGCAGTGCTACATCGTACTACCCATATTCCAAATTCATAAGTTGATAAAAACCAACCATGTGAACTTAGCTAAGTCTTATTTATTTTCATTTTTTCCTTAAGCTTTAAACTGATGCTCTTTTCTCAGAAAATGCTTAGATAATGACAAAATGAATTTGAATTCCTTTCCTTTGGATGTTTCATCGGTTGAGGGCATATGCATTACAGGTGATCTATTTACTTAAAATAGGCATCTTTTATAACAGTTCTAATAACGTCAGTAACCTACTTGCACAGTCTCACAGTCAACTTTTGAACAATTAAACAAAAAGTATCTAAGTTTTCAGATTAAATAAAAATCTTCATTAGAAAAGTTTTATCTTACTACAGTTTCACCTATACAACAAATTAAATTATTATTACTGTTTAAACAGCAATATATTGTACTCTTGCTTCACTGTAACAGAAAATCTACAACATAGTTTTTATCTCTCCAGCATACCACCAAAATAGTGATCTACCTAAAGCACAGGCACTTTTCCTTTCAACTGTGTAGTTCAAAGCCTACAATATATCCTAGCTGCCAATAGAATAATGTCTAAATTCCTTAACATGGCACCTAAAGTCCATTGACTGGGGAAAGGAGTTCATGGATGCAAAATATGGTAACTATTCATATCCAGGCCCTTCCATTCCCTAAAGTGGGAAAGACAAAAGTGAGAAGCTGATTAGAGAATGAGAACTCTGATTTGAATATGCCCAATGAGTTATCAGAAAAACGAAATTATAGTTTTGAAAGTTTTTCAGGTAATTCTGCTGTGATCCTTAACTGAAAGCCACTGATAAATTTCAATCCAATCTCCTACTCATACTTTTCCTAACCAAATAAAACTAGCATTTTCCTATTCCTCAACTCATACCTCTCACTCCATGAAAAAAAATTGACCAATCTTTCATTTCTGTTATATGTACATACTCATCCTCAAAACTTCTTTCAAATTCAAGTTATCCATGAAAGCTTCCAGTACTGAAGGAAGTCATAAAAAAGTGCTTATTTAGCACTTTTATATGTTATGACTTATTGTAAAATAATATTACTGATTTTCTTAATTTGTGTTTTACCTGGTCTCATTCATAATT